TAACATATGTATAAGGAAGGCAAAGAAGGCTGAAACAATTAAATTTCAAGTCAAGCCTAAAGTCTACTCAGCAAATATTAAGTTCAAAGAAAAGTCACGAGCCAAAAACGCAAGTCCGCCCAATTCAAAAACATGTGAAGAATACATTCGTGGATGTAAATTTTCGAAATCTTACAAATGTTTAGGTTAAAGGCAGTATTTAGTCATGGGTCATAAAGAAACCCTTAGATTTTTTTTTACAAATCTGTTATAAAGAAAATAATTACGGAAGAGTTATAGAAGATACTTAAATACATGTAAAGTTTTATTCAGTTTGACAAGTTCGAATGAAATAAAACTTTTCTGAAAGTTATTCCAAGAAACATGTGTGTTCCTATTTCTTCTTTCGTATGTTTACACCATTATGAAGTTGAGACGTCTTCTTCATTAAGTGTCGTATATAAAAGGGCCCTCTTTTATAATTCATGCTTGATTCAAAAAAAAACTATGAAATTAACTAAGCATTTTTTAAGTGCAAAAGATAAAAGGGTAAAACAGAAACCAACGTATTAAAATTGAAGTGGAAAACAAAGCCTTAAATTTAAAAGGAAAAAGCAAGGGCAAACCTATAAAAGAGTAAAATAGAAACTCAAATCAAAGGCATCATGAAAGTTGAGCACAAAATTTTTGATATCTTAATAACTTAATTAAAACTAAGTGTGAACTTAGTCCTAACCTAATTGTCATTATAAACCCCCGAAAAGGACTGGAGGTATGATGTTACCAAAAAGAAAAAATATTACCCCTAAATGGGACCAGGGGTAAAACCACCAATTGTTCACCAACAAAACAAAAAAAAAGTCAACTTCACGATTAAACTTTCACTATGGAGCAGGTTCTGAACCAGTGTTCAAGATGGCATCATCAGCAGCAGAAGGTTCGACTTGATCAGAAGGAGCTGGGACATTCACTACATCAGGATTAGCTTCAACACCCTCGGGAGTATCAGCCATGGGCAAAGAAAAACTTTGGCTTTGCTGAGTCTTCTCGATAGTTTCTTTAATCTTTGCTATCTCAGCATCCAGTTAAAACCTTCCTGGCTTACTTCCATAAGAGTGTCATGATGCGTGTTCAAAATGGCCCAACTGACTTCAATAGCAGCCTTGTCCTCAAGAGTTTCATAATATCTCTCCCAGTGATCAATTTCATTCTTAAGCTCTTCCTTCTCGGCTAAAGCAGCATCATAAGAAGCCTGCAAAGGGGCAAGCGAACTCTCCAAAAGCTTAACTTTGTCAATAGACACTCGGAGTTCTTCTTGGGCTTGAGTGAGCGTTTGAACAAGCTCACCTGCATAAACTTCTTTCTCATCCAGAAAAGCTTTTACACCTCTGATCTATTCTGTAGCCTTAGAGAGTTGTTCCGCAAAAGATGACTCAAGAATGTGCTTGTCCTTGTCTGCCTGGTTGGAAGAGGCTTTTTCAACTGCTAGCTCCGCTACCATGACTTTTACTTGCTGCTCCAAGGTACATTTGTTCTCCTCTAAAACTTCCATCTCAAGCTGAAGACTTTCATATTGCTCTTTCCAATTATCAGCCTCAATCTGATAGTCATGCATCAACTGCTCTGTATGGAAAACCCTTTTCATCATCTCCGTATCGATGAGATTAATCTACATAAAAAGGAAAGGATGACAACCCTAGTAAAGGGAAACTGCATAAGGTAAAAAAGGAAGCTTATACCTTCAATGATGATTGCACGATGTCGTTCATCCAAGTCAAAGAACTGTGACTCTCCAGTTTTGACTTTTCCACCGGACCTATCAAGGGTTTTAGCCATACGTCAGCTTGGCCTAACTTCTTCAGAAGATTACCATCAGCAGGAACCTCAATGGTAATTTGCTTCATTGACCTGCTACGTCTTGAAGAACCAATTTCATGATGAGAAGTATTGGCAGCAAGAACGGTTGAAGAAGTTTAAATAGCTTTGGGTTGAGCAGAAATAGCAACAGTGGGAACGGGCACATGGGATTCCATTGGAACTGACATTGGAAAAGAGGAAAGAGGTGTTTCCTCAAAAACCAAGTCTAAATTTTCATTGTCAAACAAAAGAGGTGCTCAGCAGAGTCATGGGGTGTCACAAACGTCTCTTCATCAGAACTCACTAAAGTGGCTTCAACAGGTTTGGTCTCAGAAACAGAACGAGGATGAGGAGTAGCTTCGTCATCCGAAATGACGCGTCTTCTAGCCCGCGGCTTACGCACTAAAGATCCTCCATCTCGCTCCTCTTCATCTTCAGAATCTTGTAGTCTATCAGCCTTTCTTTTCGATGAAGAACTCAAGATTATCTCTTGAGCTCTTGCCAAGGAAAGTCTAGAAGCTGCGACTGACTCAGCACTCACTCCTCGAATTGGAAACTCTAATAAAAAGAAGGGTTAATAAATTCTAAAGATAGAGTAGACAAAGAGGAAGGAGATAAAGATTTACCGTGAATCTTAACCTTCCAACCAAACCTGTTTGAAAGGTACTTCCAAGATCTTACTTCCATCGAAGCAATTTTCAATAATTTTTCTACCCAACCACGAAAATTGGGAGTCTCTTCAACAGTTCCCATGGTTGCTGAAAAAGAAAAGTAAAACACTTACGGGAAGTACAAACTCTTAAAAAAAAGAAAGTTGTAAAGAAAACTTACGTGCAAAGTTCCACTTCTCAGGGAAGGGAATATTTTCTTCACCTACTAATCCTTTCGTAGGAGCAGCAACAAATTGGGCGTACCAGCCACGATCTTTATCGTCCTCGGGGCTAAGTAAAACCCTCTTACTCCTCACCACCAGAGTGAAAATTCCATGACGGAATAATTTAGGATAATAAAGGTGGATTAAATGGTAGAAGGTGAAAGGCAACTGAGCCAAATTAGCCAAATACCTTAAGCATGCAACAACCCTCCACACAATAGGGCCAATTTGTCCTAAACACACATTGAAGAAGCGACATAATTCAATAATGACTGGATCAATAGGAGGTCTAAAGTCTAATGTAAAGGGGTAGGTGTACAGAAAAGAAAAGCCACCTTTGAAAGAAGTAATTCTTTGATTAGCGTTAGAGATCGTAATTGGGAAATCAAACTTCCAATGACAATCTCTATGAATAACAGAGATCAAACCTTCAGTAATCTGTGGAGGATATACATCGGCACGATCGTGAGAAGACATAGAGGAGACCTGATTTCTAATCGACTCCCTATCAGTATAGAAAGAAAGCTCAGCGGGGATAATCTCGTCTACTGTAGGCTCACGAATCGGTTCGCTGGAATCCCTACTTCTAGCAGAAGACCTATGTGAAACGGAAGCCCTAGTTCTAGAAGACGATGGAGGAGTAGAACTAGGTTGAGAAGAAGAACCTCGAATGGAGACTGACCCTAAACTACGCAGTCTTCCACCTCTCCTGCTTCTGGTAGGAGCGGGGGGAAGTTCATCTACGATAAGGACCTTTTGAGGATCAGGGTTTGAAGAAGACATAGCTATACGAAGGTAAAGAAAAGGTTGAATGGCAAAGTATGAGAAACTTTTTCGTGAAAGAAAAGACAAAGAGTATATTTATACTCAGAAGCAACCGTCAAAAAGGTAATGATGGAAATGTCATTATGAAAACTGTCACTTCGTGATTGATGCAGCCGTAAACAACCCCTAAAAGACGCTGAGGAACTGCAAAACCAATCAAAAGCCACCACGTGTCACATGCATTAAATGGAAGTGACATATGAAGCATCAGTTCTGAAAAAGGTATAATGATATGTGGGAATGGCGGCAAAAATTCTCGCTTTAATGAGATCCACTTCCCAAATATTCAACTGCTGAATAAATAGCAAGTGGGGGCACTATCTGTATTGGGGAAAATCGAGTCAGCATTTTGAATTAATTATGTGGCTGACATGTCAAGACACGTGGATTAATAGAAGAATGACAGCTGGCAAAGAGTACACAAAGAGACGCGGGTCTTAATAGGTACAAGTGATAACGCCAAACTATGCCTTATAAAAAGACACACGGACGTTGCAAATATAATCTGAGTAATTCTGCAGAGTCGAACCACAGGGAATTAACCTATCAATTACTCTTGTCGGACTTACTAAATTCACAGAATCAATTTCCCCAAACTTTGTGATTAACAGTTGATGATATTTCTAACAACTAAAACTGAAAATAGATAAACAACTGAAACTTAACTATGCTTGATGTGTAAACAATTGGAATAAGGTCTAAGGTAATGGTTTCACCCGTTGTTGATTTCCTTGGTTGTATATGGCTTATAACTGTGACTTAGTTATCTCTATCAATCATGAACTCTCCAGCTATCATAAATCTTTCTCAAGCAATTATGATAATTTACTAGACGCACTCTCTCAAGCTACGCTAGCTAGATTCTCATTACAATTCACTTAGATTGCACCCGAGGTATCGTTATCTCTAAACCAATCTCTAAACTCTTGGTTATGACTCTCGTCTATACTCCGGGAGTGATGTTGTTCAAATAGCTACCTAAATATGCACTCTCTCTCAAGTAGATACATACTAAATAGGGACGGATAATCGAGGGCCCTTTCAATTAACCACAATCGAAAAGTAGATGAACAAATAGAGATTAAAATCAATTCAAAACTATATTAATATGACAACCAAGTCATCCCCAACGGGTTTCACCAAAACCTTAGATTCGAGTATTTAGCTACTCATGACAACGATAAAAACTACAAAAGAATTCATATTCATTGATAGAAGAATAAAGTAGGGAGAATAAAATTATTTTTCCAAGTTGCCTCCTTGCCTCTCTTGATTCTTCTCAAAAAACTCGAACTCCCCATCTATTGGACTTGTTAAACCTTTTATAGTTTGTGTGGATTTGCTTGGACTTCCGAAATTTCCCTTTTTAAAACTCTGTTTCCGCCACTGGACTAGCGCGGGCGCGCTAATGCCCGCGCTAGTGGGGTTTCCTTCTGTTTTGGACTGCTGGACTAGCGCGGGCGCGCTAAGGCCGCGCTAATGCCCGCGCTAGTGGGGTTTTCCACTGGTTTGATGCTATTGTTCCAATTTTTGTCCCTTCACTCCAATTTTCGCCCGGATCAACATCATAAGCCCTCATTTGATTATTGAACTCCTGTGAAACATCAAAGTCACCATTAGAGCCAATTTTTGCATTATTTACACACTTACAACAGTAAAACATCCTTAAGTTAGAGCCCAAACGTAGGCGAAACTATACAATTTAGCCTATTATCAACAGGCAAAGGTACAAGAAAACAAGAAGGAACAGTTACTCGCATCTCTTGAAGAGACACCATTGGAATGAACCCAGACAGTAAAAAGTACATATGCGTAATATCTGCAATTAATGATGGGGAACGTTATGGAATCTTCATGAAACAGTTACGATTGTCAATCATAACGTCTCATTAATGTCATTAATTGCTCATAATGACTCTATTATGAGAGGAAAGAAACGTAGTACTTAGAAATAGCTATAAAAGGGAGAGAAATAACATTTGTATGGGGACACTGACTATTATTGGAATAAACTCATTTACATAGCTTTATATTGCTTACTCAGCTACTTCTCAGTTCAATTTTCCTTTCTTGTTACATAATTATTTCCTTATTTGATTATCAGTAACCCGAGTTCTTCTAAAATTACACCTTGACCGAAATTCTTATTTCCTGGTTAAATAATTTACATGTTAGACGAACTGTATAAGCTGATTAAAAAAAGGTAGTTCGCTGTACAAAGCATTATGCATTCATGCAGGGTCCGAGGAAGGGCTGCATCCCAAGGGGTGTGATGTAGACAGCCTACCGTAATCAAGTATTAGTTGCTGCTTCCACGGCTCGAACACGTGACCTATAGGTCACACGGAGATAACTTTACAGTTGCTCCAAGGCTCCCCTTCAAACTGTATATGCTGATATTGATCCAGAAAAAAAAAGTACCATTGTTAACTATCAACTATCAAACTATAAAAATTAAATAGGTTCGATCTATAGCTATTAGAACATTGTAAACTGATTTATTAAATTCATCTAGTTTATAGAAGTAACAAGGGCATAAACTTCAAGATTCAATTGCTTAAGTGTTGCTTTTCCTTTTCCCTCGTCAATGCTCCATTGTGTTCAGTCAACCTCTTGAATGATGCTAGCATCCTCTCCCGATTTGGCTGCAAAAAATGCATTAGTTTAAGTAAGTTAATATAAATCTCTGCTACGAAGCCTAAGTTCTCAAAATGTTCACTATATATTATGACAATTCTATATAGTGTTACATGAAGAGGAGCCTTGGAGCAACGGTAAAGTTGTATCTGTGTGACCTATAGGTCACTGGTTTGAGCCGTGGAAGCAACCACTAATGCTTGCTTTAGGGTAGGCTGTTTACATCACACCCCTAGGGGTGCACCCTTCTCCGGACCCTGTGTGAATGGGGATATTTTGTGCACAGGACTACCTCTTCTTCTTTTTTTTTAAAATAAATATATAGTGTTATATAATTTTCAAACTCTAGTGAAGTATGTCTATTCTTTCCAAAATAAACTATTGGTAGGAAGAACTATAAACAATAATAAGAGATGATACATCAACAATAATCTCCTAGAATTCAAAATGCTTTCTTCCATTTATAATTTTCTTTAATTTATCCAAAATGTAAACCAAACGGAGTCATACTGTATGTGTATATAAGATAAAAGGGCAGTCCGGTGCACTAAGCTTCCGCTATGCGCGGGGTCCGAGGAAGGGTCGGACCACAAGGGTCTATTGTATGCGGCCTTACCCTGCATTTCTGCAAGTGATTATTTTCACGACTCGAACTTGTGGCCTCCTGGTCACATAACAGTAACTTTACTAGTTACGTCAAGGCTCCCCTTCTATGTATATATAAGATGGTTTTACGAATTAAAAAAAAGATCACGTTGATTAAAATGAGAAAACTTACCATGAAATTTCCATGTTGGTTTCTTTTCATTAGCAACAACTTCAAACATTATATGATCTCCCTCCTTTAAGCAATGTGTATCACGGATTTCATTCCATCCACCGCTAATATACACATTAGTACTATAAGAACGTAATATTAAATTCCACGACCTTTGCCTTTCATCTCTAATAATCAAATCGCATTTCTTGTTGCTGAGACCATTTGCCCATGCAAATTTCTTAGGGATACTCTGAAATTTCATTTGCAAATATAATCAAACAGTGTACATACTTCATATTCAGAAAAATGGTGTTGTAACAGATCTTGGTAGAGTTTTTTATACTTACCAACATATCTTTTGAGAGGCAATAGGGTTTAACAGTTCGTACAAAATGAGTTTGACTAAAAGGCTTGTGACTGTCAATTCCTGCATATATAGGGAAATGCCTTGCTTGATGAGTTGATGCTGGGATTTGGTTTGTCAAGAAGTAGTTTAGTGTCAAGAAATTTAACATATGAAACAGAACTATTGTAAATTTGAAGAGCATCTAAATATTAAAACTCCTTCTACAATTTACGTGATGTTGTTTGACTGAGTACAAAGTTTTAAAAAAAAAGAGCAGTCTGGTGCACTAAGCTCCAGCTATGCGCGGAGTTTGTGGAAGGGCCGGACCACAAAGGTTTATTGTACGCAACTTTACCTTGCTGTTTCTACGGCTCGAACCCAAGACCTCCTGGTCACATGCATGAAGGCAACTTACCAGTTATGTTAAGACTCTCCTTCAGAGATATTTGTGTGGTTAAATATCTCGTTAAGGGTAAAATAGAAAGTTTAAAGTTAAATTACTACTAAATATAAATATGTGTCATTCTTTTGGGACGGAATAAAAAAAAGGGAGAAGTAACTTAAACGAACAATAATGGACTACGTTTTGAATAAATAACTTCCATAAATAACAACAAAAAAAATGAAGAGTGATTGATACCAAATGTGCCCTAAATTAAAGAAGTTCACCTTTGAATTCAAATTTGTTGGAAGTCTCTTCAACATTATGGGCTTCTTGTTCTTCTTCATATTCTCTCTCACATTGATTTGAATGAAATATGGAAACTTCAAACTCCATATTTCCTTCATATCTGAACACCAACATATCTCCATATTGCAAATCATGCTCCTCTACAAACTTTTCCCAACCTTCTTCTAATCGCCGGCCGTTCACCTTCACTTGCCACTTCTTACCAGCACATCTCAGTATTGCATGTTCAATATTCTCGCGTCCCTTCAAATACTTCAAGAAACCTATAGGAATTTTCTGCAGTAAGAAATCACATACAATTAGAGGAGGCTTGTCCCGTAATTGGAATGATGGTGATATGAGTTGAGTTTAAAGATTATTGAGGATTCGTATAGTCGACCCTAATTTGTTTGGGACTGATCAGCAGTAGTTGTTGTCTTTTAGCCTTGTCCCGAAACAGTAGTACTAATTACACCTAATATTCTGCATAGAATATTCATATGGACTACGGTTTTGATCTTTAGTATGTTTCTTTAATATGATAAAAAAAATTCTTAGACAAAGGAAAGATGAAATAATTGAAATTATTACTTACAATTCCGTGCTTGAAACCTGGTAGGATGGGTTTAAAAAAGTGAGGCTTCTTTGGAGAGACTTTCATTGTGTCCAGGAAAATGTAGTGACTCTGGACAAAGTATTACTATATTTTTTTTGTGTTTTGTTATTGATATATGTTAGCTCAATATTGACTTGATAAAATAATACTCAAAGAACATTTACTTGTTTTATAGTAGTATTTATATTTGTTAAAATTTGATAAATGAATAAGGATTTGGTGAAAATCTAGACAAATATGAAAAAGAGAATACCGTTGTAAATTTATGAAGATATGATATGACTATTTATGAGAATTTATTAATGAAATCAAGGAAGATATGGAAAAAAAATCTTGCCTGGATCAAAGAATAGCTCGTATATCTCCTAAAATTGTGGGAAGAAGACATAGTTATTAACTTATTATTATGGAATAGCGATTGAGGAATTTTCGGAAAACACTATTGTTTAGTGGCTATTAACTTCCTATAGCTATCATATATTTTTTTTTTTAGCTACCATATATATAATTACTTTCTATAGCTACTATTCAGTTGTTACGGTAGTGTATTCGCGTTGCTTTATTCATGAATATAGCAACAAAAAGCGCGTAAAAATCAGGGTAGTCCAGCTGTACGCGCATGTATTCACATGTATTCACGCCATGTATTCATGAATATTAGCAAAAAGCGTCTAAATTAGGGCAGTCCAGCTGTACGCGCATGTATTCACATGTATTCGCACTGCTGTATTCATGAATACAGCAGTAAAATGAGCCTAAAATCAGGGCAATCCAGTTGTACGTGCATGTATTCACATGTATTCGCACCACGTATTCATGAATACAACAGCAAAAAGCGCCTAAAATCAAGGCAATTCAGCTGTACGCGCATGTATTCGCGTTGTTGTATTCATGAATACAGCAGTAAAAAAAGCCTAAAATCAGGGCAGTCTAGCTGTACGTGAATGTATTCACATGTATTCGCGTCATGTATTCATGAATACAGTAACGTCAATCACCTTAAAATAGGTATGTCCAGTTGTCTAAGAGAGAGGAAAAACATAAATAGCGTATTTCATGCCTTATTTCATACCTTAATGGTAGTATATGCTACAAAAATATTTATTTTGCTATAAAATATAAAATGTAGCTATAGAAAATAATATTTTAAAAATAATTTTAATTTATAATAAATAGGATGTATACCTTTGATATGGATTATATAGCTTCAATAAAATATATTCACATGCTTCAGTGATCGTTTCTTGCCCATCACCAATGCTTATCTAATTTTATTCATTTACTACACGAAATATCTTAATTTTTACCCTATATAATACTCTAGGATGATTAAAACTCTTGCCTTTAACAAAATCTCCTGTTTGCTTTTTACTCTAATAGAGGTCCCAATATGAATTAAGTAGATTCCACATGTCAAAATACTTAGAAAAAGGTTCAAATTTATCCATTTATTTTTTATTATGATTTTAAATTACTCTCTGTTATACTTCAAATTGGATCTTTGTTAGGATGAAGGGTAAATACGAGACGATTGCTAACGACAAAAATATGTATGACTCCAAAGTATAGTAAATTCCCTTTTATAAAAACGGAAAAGGGCTAGATATGTCACTCTACTATCGGAAATTAGTTATAGGTAGCCCTCGTTATACTATTCTTCACTATCTGCCCCTGTTGTTACCAATTTTAATATTTCTACCCCTCAGTCTAACGGACCAAGTCATAAAGACACGTGGCAATATCTGAAATAACCTAACCATCTATCCTTTTGCATTACCCGTATTCGCCCCGACCCGTATTCACCCCTACAAAGACCTAATCTTATTTTCTTCTCAAAAACTAGGATTTTGTAATACAATGGCGGATCCTCCATGGTTTCCAGCGATCTAACCAGTGCTGGAGTGTCAGCGACACAGCAGAGAGAGGATTTAATGAGCAACAAACGATTAGATTTTACAATTCCTCAAATTCCTTGACTTTGATTAAAGTACTAGTAGTATATATTAGGGTTTCTATTTTGGTATCTCAGATTGTCGATCGCATATTAAAATTTTGAATAGTTGATCGGGTTTAGATGAGGATGGTGCTGGTATTAGCATTGGCGATCTTCACATCCCGCATAGAGCTGCTGATTTTCCTAAAAAGTTAAGCCTACACTTGTTCTTGGCAAGATTCAACATATCATATGTAGTGGAAATCTTTGCATTAAAGGGAGTGTTTCTCTTCCTTTTAATTCATCAAAAGTAGTACTCTAGATCACTGATTACTCCTTGTTCTGATAATAAAATCATCCCAGATCCCGGACACAACGAAACTTTTCGGTGATTCCTCCACCACTATCCATTTCCGGCGACCACCTGGGATCTCAAATCACTACTCTCCGGCAATTCGAGAAGCTGCATGAAATGGACATCAGCCGAAGTAGGATTAAACTCAACGGGCTCCTGCCGCAGAATGGTTTACTGCCGGAATAGGCGCAGGAGATGAAATTGACGGTGGCAGATGCCAGGAAGCTACTGAAATTATCACAATTGTGAGATGGTGAAATTGAAGCTTAGGAGGATTGAAAAGAATGGTTTTTTGTGACCAGAACTTATTCAGATTTTCTGTGAATCTTGTTGGATTAGTACTAATCAATGCTTAGAATCTGCGAAATGCTTCTAGAATTGTAATTGTTGAATAATTGAGGGCTTTTCGGGCTTGGGGCTGAACGGGTGGGTTAGAGGGAAAATGGTTAGATGGGTTAGAGAAAAAATAGTCAGGTTGTATAAGATGCTGCCACGTGTCTTCATGAATGGATCCGTTAGATTGAGGGGTAAAAATATTAAAATGGGTAACGACAAGGGTAGATAGAGAAGAATAGTATAACGGAGGCTACCTATAACTAATTTCTGATAGTAGAGGGACACATCTGGCCCTTTTCTGTTTTCATTTCTATGCTTCTTTTCTTTTTTTCCTTTTTTTCTTTCTTTTCTCCTTTTCTTTTTTCTCGTTTTCTTCTTGTTTTTTTCTTTTTTCCTTTTTTAAATTGCATTTAACTTTTTTTTTTTTATATTCTTTTTCTCTTCATAATCTAATTTCATTTACTGTTTCACTATTTTTTTAAATACAATAAGAAAAAATAACTAATATTGTAAATATTTGTTCACCTTTTTTTTAATATAACTAGTACAATATACCTTTTGTTTTTCTTTTCTTTCTCATTTTTTAAATTCAATTGTCAAACTGAAATAATATCAGTTGTCACTTGATCTAATTCACTGAATATCACACTGACTGGTGCTAAGCACCATTAATTACATAATCAGATTCTAAGAATCAACACGTGATTGACATACAAACCTTGATCTCCTTCCCTACAAATATCATTACATACTCTACCATTAGCAGTAATACAACCAGTTATAGAGCAAGAAAATATAATCTACGGCAAGCAAATCTCCATATATACTAGTTAGAATAAAAATGATAATAAAATATTGAAAAATGCAATAAAAGTATAAGTAGCAAAAAAGACTCTAGTACCATGTGGTACCAATATGGTATATATGTATACCAACAGAGCATATGATTGCTCTAGAATATTGCTACAACTATCTCCGACTATACTACTGTACCAAAACATTAAAGGACGCAATAAAAGTATGAGAAAATTACATGCTCGTATTGCAAGCTAAATATTCGCAAGACAACTTGCTCTTTCCGTATACTAACATGGTATATAGTTGTATGTGATCGTTCCAACAATTGCCTATAACTATAAAAATTATTACAAAGTACACATAATTTATGTCCATCGGCACACAAAAATTTCAGCACTGCAAATCATGTTCATATAAATAATTTCATAATAGAATTCACTTAAAATGCAGCTAAAACAACCAAAACAATGTTCAAACTACCATATGATACCAATATGGCATATAACTATTCCAACATGGTATACAGTTTTACTGGATAATTTCCGGCAACTATGACTATACTACTATTACATAACACACATGCATAAAGAGAAAAATAAAAAAATAGTGTATCACATATTAATAAAATAAAGTATTTCAAGAAATTTTACTATATTACTATTATTAAAAGAAAATCAAATATTGTACCAATTAAATGCAGCTAATACAACCAAAAAATGATTCAACTAGCATATGATACTAATATAGTATATAGCTATACTAATAGGGTATATAGTTGGAATGAATTGTATGCAAAAATAGTATATTTGTATACTCTTTGGGTATACAATATAAATTCGTCTTCTTCTCTGGTTCAACTATATTTCACCCAAATTTCTAAAATCTACTACAAAATCTCCACCAAATTGACTAAAACTTTAGCTACAACTTCCAATCAACTTTCGAAACAAACCCATACAGGATCGGATCAAAACAATTAAAAACTCAAATAAACCAAGTTATGAGTTTCAAATTTCAAGATCCTTCAAAGATGGATTTAATTTCCTCACAATAAAATCTTTGAGAATTAGCATTAACATCATAATCAAAGAACAATACCCAATAAATTTCAACAGCAAACACTTCAATACACATGAAAATTCAAATTTTAGTTAGATAGTACATATTATTTTTGTTTTACTTTTAGGAGATAAAATAAATTATGGAGCACAAATAAAAAAAAGGGTAATGATAGCAAGAAAAAGGTACAATACTAACAACATACAAATGCTATCTTTTTTGTGATTGAAGAATTGTGATTTTTCATGGAGTAAAAGAGAAAAACTAATTTTGAAACTTCTTAAAAGTGTGTGTTGCTTCTCCTTGAGAAATGGGTAGCGGCAGCAGCGAGAATTGATGATGAGATAAAAAAGGAAAGCTAATTATTTATTGGGTTGGGCGGGTAATTAGTTGTAATAGAATAGGTATTTGACGTAATTACTTTTAAAATGGGTAATTATGGGTAATTACTTTTGATTAAGTAGGTATATAGGATAGTTTTCCCCATTTAATACTCTTAACATTAGCTAATATTTAACCTTGTCATTAATGAAGCTCCCGAATAAAATGAGTGGACTCCATATGTTCAAATTCATCGAGAAAAAATGTTCAGGCCACCAAAAGATAGATGTCGAAACAAAAATAATGGGGCGACTAAAGGCCATATTTAAGGCATTTGAAGGATCCAAATGACTATAAATAACTTAGGCAGAAAAAATGGAACAAATCATTAAACAATTGGATAAGTTCCCAAATCTTTCAAAGGAATTCATGGAAGTTTATAACGGTGGATCAAATCATAACATGAACACAGCTTATTCAGAAAGTGTTCTTTTTTTTTTCTTTCTCCGATAACTGTGATATCCGAGTCAGCTTGCCTCCCACAAATACACCTTACTAATAATTTTGCCTACCATGACTTAAACAAACGGAAACAAATCACCTAGCATTTTTATCTCGGATAGAATTCGAACCCCGATCTCCGAAGTTTTCACCCATTTTATTAACCGCTAGATCAATCCTTTGGGTGCAAGAATATGAAGCAGAAAAGGTTGAAGGATGTTAGCAATCCATGAGAAATTCTCAAGCTGGTCACAATACATGAACATATCACACCCTTGTTCAGAGGCGGATTTAAGATTTGAATTCTATGGGTTCAACCTCCAATGTTCCTAGGATTGAACTCGTTGTACTGTTAAAGTTATGGGTTCATATATACTATTTTTTGCAGTTTTGGTTGATTTTTACACATAAATTTATGTTCTCCGTCGAAAATACCAAGTTTAGTTGAACCCGACATTTCTATGCTGCATCCGCCCAGGCTTCTTGTTCCAACGGCCAAGAAATAGCACCCAAAACACCATACAACCTCTTTTCCTGCTACACCTGAAACACCGTACTCAGAGTTAGAAACCTCCGATGAGCCATTAGCTACTTCCTTACATCGTGTGTTCTGGAACAAAACGTGACATGCTTTGTTGAGGTTGTGAGCTGTATATTGAACTAACCGAGAAAGAGAAATATATTCCGTTCAATTGCTTCAGTGTTTCATTTCTTTTCTGTCACCAATAAACTTAATTGTTCAGTCAACCCCTTGATTGATTCTTGCATTCTCCAGAAATTTTGCCTACAAAAATACATTAGTTTATGTAAGTTAGTAATATCAAACCTGCTAGAAAGCAGAAGTGTTTAAAATGTTGACTACATTCTATGACATTCTGTCATGATGGATGAGGAATTTGGACTCAGGATATTGGGTTGTCCGAAGATGCAAGAATTAGGCCAACTAGGAGAAGCAGAAGAACTAAAAGATCACCACACAGGCCTTTGGGCTATATCTGGGATCCAGGTTACGGGTCGGGTACATTGTAATGAATAGTTAAATAGGGGAATAGTAGCAGTAGTATAGTAGGCTGAATATTGTTAGAAATTTCCCCTCTCTGGTCTCTATCTCCCTCGTCTATTTCTCTCTGTGGATCTGTCTCTCCCCCTACTTTCTTTGTGTTCCTATCCTAATGTCGTTAATGTCTATCATGTTATTTACTATTTCCATGTACTGGGTGTTGCTATTAATCAATATTAATTGTTGATTAAGAGGTTCATAACTTATTATTTTTAGGGTTACATAATCTTCAAACTCTTATAAAACATTTACATGCTTTTTTAATTAAAGTTTTTCTTAAAATAATTACAGTTTTGAGAGACAATACATCAACCATAAAACTCTTGAAACTTTTTAGGCTTAATTCCAAGTTATTTTGAAAGAAAAGGCTTAAGGAGATGAGAACTATGTAATGAAAATAACGTCTGATGATTTAGTGTTGAACTTGAAGTTGATACAAGCCAAAGGCACATATGAAGAGTGCAAAAAATGATTTTCTAGAAAAAGTTGAGGAAGAGTATCAAAGAGCAGAAATAATTTTTGTATACTGATAGAAACCAGTGATAAGAATAAGAACTGAAAATGCTACAAATGAAAATGAATTACGCTCTCCGAGAACGCTAAGTGCTTTCTTCCATTTAGGTAAAAACTGCTTTATGCAAGATCTTACCAAATATAGTCATAGTGTATCGTATATAAGATGATCAAAACATAAAAGACACTTACCATGAAATTTCCATACTGGTTTTGTTCCATCAGTAACCACCTCAAACATTATTTGATCTCCCTCCTTTAAGCAATGTGTATCACGGAATTTACTCCATCCACCTCTAATGCACACGCTAGTACCAAAAGGACGTACCATTAAATTCCACGACCTTTGCCACTCATCTCTTATAATCAAATCATATTTTTTGTTGATGAGACCGTTTGTGAGTGCAAATTGTGTGGGAAGGATCTGAAATGGTATACCACCATTTGCGCATATCAGTAAAAACTTCATAGTTTTCACCAAGATTGACGCCAAAACAAAGAACAAAGAAGAAAATGGTAATGCAGAATCACTTTAGCCTGAACATTCTTGAACGGTATGTGTGAAATGGGTTTTTAGACTTACCAAGTAACTATACGTAAGGCAATAGGGTCGAATGGTGCATACAAAATGACCAAAAGGCTTGTGAATAGCAGCTTCTACATGGGGAAATGCCTTGCTTGATGACTTGACGCTGGCGTTTGGTTCGTCTGTTACAAGGTAATTGTATACACAATTTCATGTCAAGATATTAAGTATGACAGAGAGATTATAGTTAAAGTATGAACAGTGTATAAACATCGACCACAAAATGAGTAGGGCTCGTTCTCCAAAGTAAACCTTTCTTGAAATTTCTTTTGGCTTCCAAATAATAAGGAAACAAGAATGATGTTACAGAAATAAAGTTTAATGATTTATATTTTAATATGACTAGATTCTAGAAACACAAAAAAGAATAAGTATACTAGTATTTACTGGGTTATGCATCCATGCATACATTAACACCGTATATTAAAAGTCACCACCCTCCCTCAACTTAGGTAAGAAATTCAAGGCTAAGCAAATTATAGAAAGGATGATATACTTCGGTAGAATCTGGTAGGAGTCGTAAAAGTGATCTTATGTGTTAAAATGACTATTGAATCCATTGTTCCTTAAGCAACATGTTTGTAGAATCACAAAAAGACTGTCTAGAAAGGTAGAGGAAGGACTGATAGAAGACCATCTTAATTTACTCGAATAGAAACATTCAACAAAAAGGGCCTTCTCAGTACTATTTCCCGCATAGCTGTTTCTCTTTTCAAGAAAAAGAACTTGTATAGATATTATTCTTCAAATATCGTTTTAAAGTATACGAATTTTCTTCAAACTTCTTAAAATTATAACATATGAAAATTTATCCTCATGGAACCTGGGACAGGCCTTTGGAACACTCAATATATAAACTTAATTGGAAAAATGGAGCAAACTGCCCCCCTTCACTATGAATTATAGCCACGAAAGGTGAAGGACACTTCTTATAACAAGCAAAAGCAACTAAAAGGAACCCTATAAAAGAAAGAACAATGTTATATAACACTTCAAAAACACTATTTAGTTACGATATGGATAGTATAAATTAGGCTCTTTTTGGTATAACTAAAATGTTTGCTATAGATTCCACATATAGGAAATGTTTTACAAAGATCTTTCATAAATAGTCTTCAAAACTGTTTGGTTGGGTACATTTTAGAATATGTAGTTGTTTACAAATAATATTTATTACAGTTTTGAATATACAAACACAAAAATAAATTTCATGGTGAAGTTACATAAAAAGACCGGCATGGTCGCCTTTAGAGCACTCAATGTATAAACTTGAGTGAATAAATAGTGCAACTGCCCCTTTAGGATGAACTATAACCTATGAAAGACGAAGCACACTTCTTATAACAAGCAAAAGCAATTAAAACATACCTCTATAAAAGAGAGAAACTGACTTATGACACGATAATACACTATTTAATTACAAAATGGAGTGTATAGATTGGGCCCTTTTTTGGTGTAGCTAAATTGTTTCCTACAAAATATATTCCACATATAGGAGGTGTTTTACAAAGATCGCTTCATAGTAACAACCTCAAACATTATATGAGATCCCACCTTTAAGTTAGTTGCAACACGGAACTCACCCCTTCTACCTCCAATATACACTTTAAACCCGTAGATAGGTAACCTTAAATTACATGACCTTTTGTCTTTCATCTCCAATAATCACACCACAATTCTTGTTGGTGAGACCATTTGCCAGTGCAAATTGTGTAGGAAGGTACTGAAATAGTTTAATAACCATTTGCACATATCATCAAAATGATATTGACCTTGCTTGATAACATGAGGCTGGAGTTTTCTTTTTTATGTATTAAATTGTGAATTGTAGTCAAACCCATGTCAAGAATATTAAATATGACAAAATTATTACAATTCAAGCACGCATAGCCTTTAAACACCCACCCCATCTTTTTTGGCTAATTTTTCATTTTAACAAATTGAAACTTGTTTTAGGAGGAAGCGACTTAACTTGCAAATTCGTCAAGTATAAATTATTTGTACTATAATACGTAGAAACTGGATATTATCATGTGGTAATTATTGTGATGCAATCAATGTGCACACTTCAGTAATTACAGTATTTTCTGCTACTGTTTTAAAGTTCTAATTTTCTTAATAAGATCACAAACTACTGCATTATACTCATGTCATCAACAAATCTTCAAAAGGCTTGAGGACCAAAAAGCATATCTAATGGACTCCAAAGATCTTACCTTTTAATTCAAATTTCTTGGAAGTCCCTTCAACAGCATCGCCGGCAGCTTCTTCTTCTTCTTCCTCTTTATCTTGCAGATACTCTGCATATTTTCTGTTACAGTGCCCTGAATCTAAATGAGAGTGACCAAAAGGCTTGTGAGCAGCAGCTTCAGCATAGGGAAATGCCTTGCTTGATGACTTGATGCTTGGGTTTGGTTTGACTGTTATAGGGTGATAACACAAACCCATGTCAAGAAATTAAGTATGACAAAAAGAATACAATTTAAAATATGAATATTGTCCGAACATCCACCCAAACGTTTGCTCATTTTCGATATTAGCAGGAATTCACTCCCCAAAATAGACCCTTCTTGATATTTCTTTTAGCTTCCTGATGTTACGAAAATAAAGTTCAATGATATAAAATTTGAATCTGACTATATTCCAACAATGAATACATTAGAACTCACATGTCCTGAAGATTAAAGTAGCAGAAATGAGGATGTTGAGGTGGATGTGCGGACACATTAGGATGGATAAGATTAGGAATGAAGATATTCGGAAGAAGGTGGGCGTGGCTGTCATAGATGACAAGATGCGGGAAGCGAGGCTCAGATGGTTCGGACACGTACAAAGGAGAAGCCCAGATGCCCCGGTAAGGAGGTGTGAGCGGCTGGCTTTGGAGGGCACGAGAAGAGGTAGAGGACGGCCTAAGAAGTATTGAGGAGAGGTGATCAGGCAGGACATGGCGAGGCTTCAAATTTCCGACGACATGGCACTTGATAGAAAGCTGCGGAAGTCGAGTATTAGGGTTGTAGGTTAGGAGTTAGTTGAGTCTTTCCTTACTTCGTACCTTTGTGAGGCTAGTCTGGTAAGGTTTTTGTCGAAGTCAATTAGTGGCAATGTGGCGTCTTACTACTCATTCGTTTTCCAGTGTCTGGTCTATATACTGTCTAAAGCTTTTGCTTTGCATCTACTTTCTCATTTTTATGATGTTATTTTTCGTATAGTTTCTATTGGTGGTACTGATATTGTCTCTTTTCGTCTTCTTGAGTCGAGGGTCTTTCGAAAACAGCCTCTCCACTCCCTCGGGATAGAGGTAAGGTCTACGTACACATTACTCTCCCCAGACCCCAATAGTGGGATTTTACTGGGTCGTTGTTGTTGTTGTTGCTGCATACATTAGAACAACATATTGAAGATCACCACCCTCCCTCAGTAAAGTTTAGTAGGACTTGTAAAAGTGCTTTTATGGGTTAAAATGATTAATGGATCCCTTGTTCTTTCAGCAACATGTTTGTGTAGTTACAAAAATGACTGTCTAGAAAGCTTGAGTAAGAACTTATAGAAGACCATCTTAATTAACTAAAGACAAATGCTCACATAAACAAGTACGTCTTATAGATAGCTATTTCACCCTTTCCAAGTAAAAGAACTTTCATAGATGTTACTTTCAACTTTCTAAATAACAAAAGCTTGACATTAAGAGGACTCAACATCTAAATTTGATGAATAGATAGAGCAAACTGCCCCTTTATTTTGACTTTTTTCCTGACAGTGGTGTCGGGGCCAACTCGAGCGCACCGCGACCATTCCACCGGGTACCTGCTGCCTCCCATCAGCACAGGTACCGGATAACACTGCCTACCAAGGATTCGGTAAATTTGAAAAGTGTAGTTGGTTATGGAGAACATGTTTTACAGTATGGTAACCAAATACTGAATAATGTTATCGAAGATGTAATATAATTTCATGGTGTATATAACCTAGTGAAAAGATCGTAGAAAAATAAGAGCTTGCTTAATTAAGAAACCTTACCATGAAATTTCCAAATTGGTCTTTCTCCATTAGTAACAACCTCAAACATGATTCGATCCCCCACCTTTAAGTCATTTTCAGCACGGAATTTAGCCCATCTGCCCCCAATATAGACGTGATGGCAGGAGGTATATAGCTTTAAATTCCATGACCTTTGTCTTTCATCTCTAATAATCAAATCACATTTCTTGTAGGTGAGACCATTTTTCGATGCAAATCGTGACGGAACACGCTGAAATTGTTTATAACATTTGCACATTGCATGTCATAGGCATCATGTTATCACAGCAAATAACTCCAATTAACAAAGAGGAAAAAGAAAAGAAAGAAAATGGTGCTTATGTTTCCTTTACCTGAAGATTCTAAACGGTTAGGTGGGGAGGGGGAAATGAGTTTTGAGACTTACCATGTAACCTTTTCTAAGGTAATAGGATCTAACAGTGCATTCAAAATGAGATTGACCAAAAGGGTTGTGAGTAGCAGCTTCTGCATGGGGAAATCCATCTGAAGAAATTAAATATGACAAACAAGATGCAGGGTTTGGTTTGTCTGTTAAAAGTTAATTGTAGATAAATCCACGTGAAGAAATTAAATATGACAAAATGATTTACAATTAAAACATGAATAACATCTAAACATCCACCCAATCAATTGGCTAGTTTTTCCTCTAAGCAAATTGAAACTTATTCTCTAGACTAAGGGAATTAGCTTACAAATTCATCAAGTATAAACTAATGGACTCTAAAGATCTTACCTTTGAATTTAAATTTCTTGCAAGCCTCTTCAACAATATCTTCTTCTTGTAGCAGATACTCTTCATATTCTCTGTCACAATGACTTGAATCAAATATGATAACCTCAAACACCATGTTTCCTTCATGTCTGAAAATCAACAGATCTCCTAACTGCAAATCATGTTGTTGTGCAAAATCAGCCCAACCCGCTTCGAATTGACAACCGTTCACCTTCACCCGCCACTGCTTACTACCCCTTCTAAGTATTGCATGTTCAATATGGTCATATCCTTTCAGATACTTCAAGAAACCAGTAGGAATTTTCTGCAGTACATTATATACTTAGATTAGCCTTGTTCCAAAATCGTACTAACTATCTAACCGGTTAAACAATTAAAAGAATGCTCATATGGACTATGGTTTTTCTAGGATAAATTCTTCCACCTATATATGATACATGCATATAGTAGACAAAGGAAAGAAGAAATACATATCATACTCACAAGACCATTCTTGAAACCTAGCTGAATAGGTTTGAAAAAATGAGGTTTCTTTGGAGGGACTCTCATGGCAAGCAGTCACAGTGAACAAAGTATATATCTCTTGTCTAACTCTGTTTTTTGAGATTGATATACTGACAAAGATACTTTTATTTTTATTAATGTTTTAAAAAACTTTAAGGATATTTTGTTCATTATCAGTACTACTTTTGTCAGTTTCAGCAATTCTATCAAAACAGGTTCAGCTTTAACTTTATGCTTATCACCTATTTATAGGGCGGAGCCAGTGTTGTGCTTCCAGGTTGTCAAAACCCAATAGCTTCGGCTCAAACTCTTTATTTGTATTACAAAATTCACTTAATATGTATGAATAATTTACTCGCCAGGAAGGCACATTTTTTAGAATCCAAAATCCCATAAACTCAAAATTTTAGCTCCGCCTTCGGCTCTTTACAATCAGCTAGCCCAAATGGGCACTTACAATCAGCTAGCCCAAATGGTTAATTTCAGAATATTAGTGTTTTTCTGAGATAAATTGTTCACCTCCATATCATACATACATGCATACATACATATAGTAGACAAATGAAAAATGAAAATTACTAAAAGGGTTAATCTTACTCACCAGAGCCTGCTTGAAACCTGGCTGAATTGGCTTGAAAAAGTGAGGTTTCACTGGACGGACTTTCTCTTTCATAGCCAGCAGTAAAAATTGCAGTTCTATAGATAAAGTATCTTTTTTCTACTTTGTGATTGATATAATTGAAAGACTGAAGCTTCAATTCAGTTCAGGGGATGCAATTTTATTTGGCAGAAAAGACGAAATTTTCCAGCATCCCAAAGTAAAATTGAAGAGAAATGAGAATTTTATTTTGTGGTTACCACAACAAATACTACCTGTGTGAGGCTTTTTAAATACATGACAAGTGGAATGATAGGTCCCACTTTGTACCAGGGAAAGATAAAAGCAGCTTTGTGTTTTTCGCTTCTAGCGTGGAAAATCCATTTGTGTTATAAAACAATAAAAGTAGAAGAACAATATTACAGAGAAAGAGAGAGAGGGGGGGGGGGGGAGAAGTTCTTATTGATATGGGATGAATTACAATAGAATAGAACTCTCTATTTATAGGGAGAGGGTGACTTAGCCACCAAGCAATGAACCCTAGAATCTCTCTAAATATAGACATTCACCATAAATACAATTCTATTTATAACACTCCCCCTTGAATGTCTATTCAACAGATAATGTGCCTCATTAAAACCTTAACTAAAATAAAACCCAGTGGGAAAAAAATTCCAGAGAAGGAAAAAGAGTACACATATCTACAATACGTCTTTTGGTTGCCTCATTAAAAACCTTGCAAGGAAAATCCAGTGAGACAAAACCTTGTAAGGGAAAAAGAGTATAACGCGTATTAACTCCCCCTGATGAGAGCATCAATTCACATCCTTAAGCATTTGCATTCCAATCTTGTGCACCATCTTCAAAAAGATATTTGGTAGAGATTTGATGAAAAAATCAGCCATATTAACTTGAATGAATATGTTGCACCTTGAAATCATCATTCTTGATAGATATATAATGTCTTCATATAATGTCGTGGAATGACTCTTCAATATCTCCATAGAGATTCTCGCTATCATATTATCATGCTTTTAATTATAGCAAGATACATATATGCACAAATTGCACTGAGGATGTGGTACTTCAAGATCAAGAATTGTATATGCTTCAAGCAACTTAAATCCTTCATGGATTGTCATATAAGTTAAGTCATATAAGCCATATAATAGACTTTAGATGCATATCAAGTTTTCATGTCATGCTAGACATATAAGATATCGAAAACTGATTGCACATACCATTGACTTTATACTTTCAAGTGTTTGAACTACATTTTCAAAACTACATGTCTTTCATATGAAACCAATTTTACTTGAATTGTTTCTCTAGACTTAAGATCCTCATATATATTTAGCGATATCATAGATGTCGTCGGCGAACATTTTATATCGGTTTCAACCTCCTTATTTTTCATAAAGACATAACATAGATATCTCTTCATTCATATATTCAGGTACCTGAATCTCTCATGAGATTTTATGAAGTGTTATGTCATGTGATCTTCTAGATCACTTGCCTCCTTTATTATGATCATTTGCTCATCTTCTTTATCAAGAAGTTGATTTGAAACCGATTAGTCTATACGCCTTAAGCGTTCCACATACTTTGTCCTTCTAGGACTTAATAGGAGCATTTGCAATGAGAATATAGTTACTTTCTTTGGGTCAGCAACTGCGTCTGGCATGCTTTGCAATATATTGCAAATGAATTATCCTTTTATGAACTTCAAGTTCATATAATCTTATTCGAGGATCTAGATGTACAAATGATAATTCATTCCACGTAACTTTTTCTCAACTGTTATCATCTCTCCCCATCATGTTAGAAAAACTAACTTGCTTCATCATCTTTGTGCGTTTGGTGTTAATCAAAATATACACCGCACATCAATAATAATAATAAGATGGAATTATTTGGTTCCTGACCCTGAACCACTCGTGAGGGGAGAATGTAATATACTTTCGTATATAACGTATATCAAACTGATATATATAACTTTGTTCTCATAAGCAATTGTTTAGCTATTAAGTAGAGGCACTTAATAAATCATTTTGCTAAACGAACTGTGATGTAAACCAACTTATCAAGATGAACTTCTTGAATAAAAATCTGGAAATTATGCTCGAAATTAAATTATTGAGCAAGTTACCTCACAAAACACCATGTTGCGGGTTAATAATAATTGCACATGTAATCATCTCATAGATGCATCTTATGTGGTATACATGGCAGGTGAATAGGCCCATATTCACCTTTGATATTTCCAGCATTTATGGGATTCAACCCCAATTTTAGTTGGTCTATTAATTAATGAGAACAAGTAACATAAAAGAATTTATAAAGAACTTTCTAGTTCTTTAATATTTACCCATGTGAATTCTCTATTATTTTTGCACATCATACTTAAATTGATATGGCTAAACCAATTATGCCAACTGAATAAATTATCAATATTGATAAACTTCAGGTTTACACCATGACGTGTGCAATTATCAATAAACTCCAAGTTTATTATGATATGAGTTTTTATATCAGTAAACATCCACTTTAGTGTGGTATTCTTTTATTTGTGTAGTACAAACTGGAGAATAAAGCGGGTAGCTTTTCACATACATATTATCCCGCTACAAGTTGCAGTAATAAAAGATATTAAATCTTTCCTTTATTTATAGTCTCAATATAATCAACCGCTTTCGCGTATACTTTGAAAACTGAATAAGTTTCTTCGAGACTTACTACAACACAATACCTTATTGGTAATCAATTGTGCTTCTCCAAAATAGTAATAATTGGCTCTTCCAGAGCTCTCAATTAATTTGGTACTACCACATATTTATCAACATCCATATGGTGAATATCTCTTTTAAAGAGAAAGTTATACCATTATGGTTATGGTCAAAATTATATGCAAGATCTGTTTCTTGCATTATTGTTGTCTTTTAATAATCACAATGCCAAAATATTTTGGCGTACAATAGGTACGTGACCAATGGCCATTCATGCCATAATAATGACATTATTTTCTTATATCATCTCAAACCTCCTTCTAGAGGTGAGTGCGGTATATTCACTACCACTAGCACGTTCATATTCTTTGAAGAATGAATATGTATTTATAAATCAGATGTTGTCACATTCGCATCATGAACGGACCATAATCATCTAATGTGATTTACAAAATCTCATGTCAAATCGATGACAAATATTTTTCACAGAGTGAAAGATTATTTTGAGAATCCTTATTGTTCTCATTACCACAAATGATGACGATTATAATTTCGTCTATTGCCACGTCCATATCCATTAATACATTCATAGTAATAATTTTATCTTCTTTCAGACTTACCGCATACTGCTATCACATTCTCTTAAGGGAATGAGAATGGAGCAAATTCAATGGGACGGGTTTTCAATTCTTTGCCCACAATCATACATGAATTTGATCATGGCGAGGCATAGAAATTTTACCACTTCAGGTGGTTATAACTTCTTACAAACTCCACTAGAGTTATAATCAAACTTTGTTGTCTTTGCTTGTATTTAAAATCAAAGTATAGAATAAAAGAGAAAAATACGGTAAAATACTTACCTTATATCCAGAATTTAATCATGAAGGAAATTCATGGAATAATTGACAATCATTATGCTCAATCCCAAAGCTTCTACTCAATTGGTTAGAGTCTCGTGCTGATAACGTGTTATAAAACAATAAAAGTAGAAGAACAATATTACAGAGAAAGAGAGAGAGGGAGAGAATTCTTATTGATATGGGATGAATTACAATAGAATAGAACTCTCTATTTATAGGGAGAGGGTGACTTAGCCACCAAGCAATGAACCCTAGAATCTCTCTAAATATAGACATTCACCATAAATACAATTCTATTTATAACAATTTGATAGATTTTCCAAGTAAACAAAGTTGGCATTTGACTGGTTGGGCCGGACTGACTCATTATAAAAAAAATTAACATCAATAGTCATTTATCCAATCCCTTAGAGCAACTCCAACCTTGCCCTCATTTTTTGTCCCCAAAATGGGGATACTCCAACCATTCCCCATTTTTCCCCCAAATTTTTTTATATTCTTCTCTCTCTTCTATATTTTATTATTATCTTTCATTTCAATTTCATTTTTTAATTTCCATTAAACAAATTCCTTCTTTTATTTTTATTTTGTAATTTCCATAATTAAAATGATTCCATAAAATTTTAAATAATATAATTTGTAAGCAATTATTATAGATTAATTAATAATTCAAATAAAAGTGAAATCATTGCGATACAAGATTAATTAAATATATATTACATAACGATAAAATTCATTCGAAATACTAGATAAATATTCTACTTCAATCTCTAGTATTCTCCCATAAATGATCTATTAATGTATTACGAAGTGCAAAATGAGCATCTTTGTCCTTAATTCTTCTATGTCGAGCTAAAAATTCTTGAAATCGTTGATTTTCATCTACTACAATTTCTACTGTTGGAGTTGGCGACAAGAACAACAACGAATAATGTATAAAAGAAGTCAAGAATATTCACAGTCGCAACCACAACAATCTTCAGCCTCATTCAGTCAATACTATAATGATTTTGGTGTATCTGGAAACGACATAGGTCCCTACTAAGTTATTATGCTATTTACCGTAGTTTCTATTTTTATGTATTTTTATTTAATGTATTTTCAATTGTCATGTATTTCCAATTTTAATGTATTTTCATTTAATATATTTTTAATTTTCACTTTTTAATTTTAGCAACATATAATATTTTATATTCGCACCTTTCAATATTAACAACATCTAATATTTTATATTTGTCACCATTTCAGTTTTTTTTTGAGATTAATTATTAAAATTTTTTTGTACAATTAACTTATAATAAAATTAACTTATAATTTTACATAAAAATAATAAATGCACGAAAATTAGTTTATCAAAATTATACACCAAAGGTAAGATATAATATTAATATTATAAAGATATTACATAAACATAATTAGTATATATAAAGAGTTAAACTAAAAGATTAAATAATTAAAATAATAATAAAATATAAGTGAATAGTAATGGGGGAGATGAATAGTGTACCCCCATATTTGAGGGAACACTATTCATCCCCCATTTTGGGGACAAATATGGGGGAGGGTTGGAGCAAAATTCCCCCATTTTTTTCCCATTATGGGGGATGGGGTCAAGGTTGGAGTTGCTCTTAATTAAAGGGATTTTTACATGCCTATACACTATTGGAAACTTTATTATAA